AAATTGTAGTGTTACGAGTAAAATGTTGCAAGAAAATATATTGAAAAGGCATTGGTTTTATTTTCTTCGATTGGTTTTGGCAAACAGAGCAATTGAGCAATTTCGGCGTAAGCTTGTTTTAAGTTTCAACACTTTTGATGACGAAATTCGACATGAAAAAATACACGTCCCTTTACGTTAATAAATATAGTAATTACTCGATTTTAATCTTTAAAATTACACACATTTTTTGTCAAGTAGAACTCGGCATTAGATTAATATCGAACGTACATGCGGTTTTGCGGTTATACTGTATTTACAGACGTACATACATACATACATACATACATAAATATATATTTATAAAGGTGTATACTTAACATGGCAATATAACCTGCTCTAAAAACAGTTTCACACGATTGGGCATTTTCCCAAAATTCGGAGCAAATCGTATCCGAATCGTGTGAATGCACAAATAATTTTCTTTTAGCTTTGAACAGTAGATTGCTCACTAAAGGCCTATTAGAATATAAAAACTACTACATCAATAAATAAGTTTGAGTGTTTATTAAAACCCATGATTTTGAAGAAATTCCGAATTTAGAACTTTAGTTTTTATGGTATTGTAAATCGCTGTAAAGGCACCACAATTTTAGATAGGGCCTTTTATTCAACAAAAATCCCTAAATTTGAAGATAGCAATCATAAAAAATAGCTAAAAGTCCATTTCTCAATAAGATGTTAAACACTTTGTATTGAGTATTATAACCAATTTAAATTGGAGCTGCATATTTAAAGCTACATTTTTCGCATTTGCCGCCATTTTGTCACAAATGCCAACGAATCGCAAATGAATGGGACATACAAACTTATTACTATTGCTAATTTAAAGTTTTTTTTTTATACAATGCCTGCATTTGAGATAAATTTTCATACGCTTTAAAGCACACCTAAAGAATTTATTTCTTAATACTTTTAAATTGAAAATAAACATGAAAATTTCTACAAAAGCCGATGAGGACTTCACATCTCATTTACCGCACTCATCCATCATGTGTGCTTTGCAAAAGTGAAGATATCGATATCTTTTTCACTGTTATCAATTATAATTGCATGCGTTTATAAGCACTTATGTGCACAAAAACCAAAATAATTCATTATAAAGAATGATAAACTTAAAAAAAAAAAATCGGAAATCAAAGACGACGCGCATTTATTTCCTGCTTCACTTTCAATTAAAAAAAACGCCATTTTGACTAATACACTACTCGGCGGAAGGCAGGAACTGTCAAACTTCCGTAATTAGTTACATTGCAAGCGATTAAAACTAACTAATTCATCTTCACTTTGCGTGACCTCCCGAGTAGAGCTTGAGCACTGCAACTGCAACTAATTCCCACATACATGCATTCAAATGTTTTTATATTGCCAAGTGAGTGCTTCTGTCGTATTTAATATTTGTATGCGTGTGTACTTTAAAAATTTGCATAAATGCAAATAAACAAAACAAAAAAAGATGGTTAGCAAAAAAATTCGACTGTGCGTCGGCCGGGAATCGAACCCGGATCAACTGCTTGGAAGGCAACTATGCTAACCATTACACCACCGACGCACGTACCCAGTTTGTGCTCAAATTCGTATTAGAGCAGGGTCACATAGAGTTTTTCGAATATTTAACACAGGGTGCTTCATATAATTTTTTTTTTTATTATACACTTCACTAGTACCCCGTATACCACACAAAGTATATACATACTATGTATATGCATGCTGTCAGCAATCGCCAAAACTATAAATAACATGATTACGCATTTTCTTATTTACACATTTTTAGCACGCTATTTTAAATAATAAGAGAAGCGCAAAAATTGTTGTTCACAAAAAATTTATTCACTGTCGAGTCACTCTGTTGCGAACAAATATTCCTCTACTTCAAATAAACACTTTGACACCGGGCAAGTACGTGCGTCGGTGGTGTAATGGTTAGCATAGTTGCCTTCCAAGCAGTTGATCCGGGTTCGATTCCCGGCCGACGCAGAGTTCATTTTTTTTTTAATGTAAAGAAGGGATAGATATTAATTAAATAAGCTGGTAAAAGCGAATGTTTTTTAATAGCAACGTGTTGCTTTATTGCAGTAGTTCATATAAAACAATAATTACATAAATGGTAAAAATTCAAAAAATATTGCAACTGTAATTACAGCCAACCCGCTGCCGCGCCACCACCAGCCGCACCCTTGCCACCACTGCCCGCCCACGGACCGACTGTCTCCACGTTGGGTACATGATTGGTGCCGGCCGTAATCGGACTGAATGCTACATCCTTGGTCAAGGTGAGATGATGTGCTGCCCCGGCATTCCCATTGCGTGTGTATTGGCTCAACTTGGATGCTTCATATTCGGTTTTTTGTATTTCAGCTGCAGCAGCGTGTGCTGAACGCTGCAAGGCCGCTGCTGCTTCCGCCTCACGTGCGGCGGCGATACGTTGCTGATGTGCCACGGCTGACTTTGAGGCGGCCAAACGTTGTTGCGCTAACAGCACCGCTTGTGCGGCAGCCGCTGCTTCGGAGCGCTGTATTGCAGCGGCAGCCTCTGACTTCTGGGTGAGTATTGCGGCAGCAGTTTCCTTTTCCATAGCAATGCGTTGTTGATTCAGCACATTCTCTTTGGCCGCCTGCATTTGTTGCTGCGCAATGAG